GTCTCACATTCACTCACTCACACTCTCTCTCACATCACTCACTCACATTCTCTCTCTCACACTCTCTCTCACTCACGCTCACACTGTCTCTCACTCACTCTCTCTCTCTCTCACTCACACTCACACTGTCTCTCACTCACTCTCTCTCACTCACTCACTCTCTCTCACTCACTCTCTCTCACACTCACTCTCTCTCACTCACACTCACACTGTCTCTCACTCTCTCTCTCTCTCACTCACGCTCTCTCTCACACTCACATTCTCTGTAAATCTCAGGTTAAAGTCAAATGGTGAATATGAAATATTGATCAGCCATTTTCACAATTATCATGACATCTGATAATATCTTTAAAGTTTTGAAATTGAAATGACTTGTTTTGCTGTCAGTCAGCTGGGCATAGATAGAGGAGACGATTATTTCAAGTGCTGCCACTAAAATACAGTGAACCTCACTAATGAATGCAAGCGGGTATTTATGTAGCAATCAAGATGCCCTGCAGAAATTCATCAAGGCTCCATAGACAGTAAGTTCTAAACCCACGACTACTTCAATCTAGAAGGACAAGGACAGCAGATACATGGGAGCACCACCGCCTGCAAGTTCCCCTCCAAGCTACTCACCATCCTGATATGGAAATAGATCATCATTCCTTCACTGTCACTCGAACAAAATCCTGGAATTCCCTCCCTAATGGCATGGTGGGTTTATCTAAAGCGCATGGACTGCAGTGGCTCAAGAAGGCAGCTTACCACCACTTCTCAAGGGCAACTAGGGATGGCCAATAAATCAATGATGTTCACGTGCCATGTTTAAAAAAATGTTTAAAAAATCAATGATAACAAGGTGTAGAGCTGGATGAACACAACAGGCCAAGCAGCATCAGAAGAGCAGGAAAGTTGACGTTTCGGGTCTGGACCCTTCTTCAGACCCTTCTGGACCCATTTCTGAAGAAGGGTCCAGACCCGAAACATCAGCTTTCCTGCTCCTCTGATGCTGCTTGGCCTGCTGTGTTCATCCAGCTCTACACCTTGTTATCTCAGATTCTCCAGCATTGGCAGTTCCCACTATCTTTAAAAAAATCAATACCATTATGATCTGCAACTACTTTAATTAAAACAGTGTCTTGCTGTAAATCAGAATTTGAGCACAGGACCCTACCGTATTTACTATGGAGGCTCCTTAGCTCCAAAAGCATCCAAGGAAAGTCTGTCTCAGCATCACCTAAAGCAGACAGAAGAATGGAAGAAGAAGATATCTGTTTATACAATGAAACATAGAACATAGAACATAGAACATTACAGCGCAGTACAGGCCCTTCGGCCCTCGATGTTGCACCAATCTGTGAAAACAATCTGAAGCCCATCTAACCTAAACTATTCCATTATCGTCCATATGTTTATCCAATGACCATTTAAATGCCCTTAAAGTTGGCGAGTCTACTACTTTTGCAGGTAGGGCATTCCACACCCTTACTACTCTCTGAGTAAAGAACCTACCTCTGACATCTGTCCTATATCTACCACCCCTCAGTTTAAAGCTATGTCTCCTCCTGCTAGCCACCACCGTCCGAGGAAAAAGGCTCCCATTGTCCACCCTATCTAATCCTCTGATCATCTTGTATGTCTCTATTAAGTCAC